AAATGGACGTGTGTGTCCCTATATTTCACTTTTCAGCCAAAACTACACATCGCACATGAATGGTGTTTATATGTGGTAGTAGCCCCAAGTCTCCATTCGTGCACTATGGTGGTTGCGTCTCGATAGCTATAAGGATGCGGGAGATATGGGGGCTTAAAGTGGTTGACTTCAAAGATTTTCTATTTCGATTTTAAAAATGTTAGAACCGTTTTAAATTCGAATTTGTATTCGAATTCAAATTGGTTCGATTATAGAACGATTGTAAACGTTCCAGAAAATTGATCAAATTGAAAATAGTTCGTTTGACTGGACGTAAAAATTCTCTAATTAGTCTGGAAATGGGGGACCTAATTCTTGCATTCTGTGCTGTAAGGGTGTGGGAGATATGGGGTTGAAAGTGGTTGACTTCAAAGATGTGTAACAATGAAAGTGTCAACAATAGAAGTGTTAAACAGTGGAAGTGTTAACAAAGGAAGTGTTGAGTAATAAAGAAAGTGTTAATATAAAGCGGCATGCAAGATTTACAGGCGGTTTTTTGCATTTTTGTGGGAAATCGAACATATTTTTAGACTCGTGTAAAAATTAGTCTGGAAATGGGGGGACCTAATTCTTGCATTCTGTGAAAACGGGTAAGATTGGCTATAATGTAATTATCTTAATCTTCACTATCGTTACTTTTTGCCCAGTGAAGCGGGTCCTTGCAGCTAGATTCTAGATTACTTGGAAAAACAGTCTTTTATATATAAAAAAAACTATATTACAAACAAATAAAAACCCAGCAAAGCGGGTCCTTGCAGCTGGTTTATAAATATAAACCATTGAAATAATTTTATAAATTATTAAAATTCCTTTGAAAGTGTACTAAAGAAGCTCAAAAACAAAAGTCAACATTACATGAAATATTAACAATTTACTGCAAATGTTTCTCTGATTATAAAACAAGTATCTTCAGATATATCATAACTTGAAAGCAAATTAAATTGTGATACTATGCAGGAAGACTAATTGCTTTGCAGTTTGAAAAACATTAATTTAATTGCAATAAATTGCTTTTATTTTAAAAAATTATTTATAATGTCCTTATTTATCTGAGTTATCCTGTAGTCATTTTTTCAATGTGCTTCAGAAATATTGAATTAATTAATTACAGGTTTAAAAAATGTATGATATAATACTTAAATTACCTGTTCTCTTTGGTGCATATCAATGCTTGGATTTACAGTAAACCTATTCTGTCTTGTAATTTGATTTTCTACACCATCAGAATCAGAACCTGGAAGACATGCATGTATCTCCTTCGGATATTCTGCCATAGCATTCTGTATACTATCCTAAATAAACATCAATATTTTCAGTAAAATATGAATTTATACTTATATAGTTTATTTAGACAACATATTATTTATATACTGTAATTGCAATATAACAAAAGTTGTTTAACTTTTGTTATATTGACAAGTTAAACTGAATATTTTGATCTATATCTTGTTACCAACAACTTATTTAAATAAACTTCTTTAGCAGTATTTAATAATTAAATCATGTTATTTTATGTGTTTCTTTAATATAGTGCGCTAAATATATGAGAAAACTATCATCATTCATCAGTCATTACATATTTAAATATGTGATGACACCAGTCATTACATATTTAAATATATAATCTATCTAATAGAAATTGGATATGTTAATCTTTGAAAAGACTAAAGATATCTTCTTTATTTATTCTTCAACCTGAAGATGACAATTTAAAATTGCTGAAAATGTTTGTTTATTTAATTAAAGTTTATTTTTTTGCTGGATTTTCTGGTGTTTGTGAATTATGTTATCCAAGGTATCTTTGGTTCACATTACCTTGAATAATTGGAGTTCTTCTGTAGTAGTATTTTTACAGTGCCTGTACAATGGAAATGGAAAAGAATTCTAAAAATCTTTTGACAATTACGTTGATTTTCATGCTCATTAAAACATGTGTTTGTTTTTTTTCTGAGAGAGAGAAGTTTTGTAATTTTCTTTTTTCTTTTTTTTTGTGTATAAAAGTATGACTAAAAATATAAAACAATTTAAATTAGAAACAGTCATTTAATTGAAGAAGCATCAGGTATAATTACATGTTAAATGATTTTAATTGATCCCAAATGAGTTCAGTTAGTTCTAATTGATATGTATGCTTGTTAAATGACATAAAATCAAAGCATTTGAAACATTTGTAACATTCAAAATTAAATGATTTGAATAGATCTATAAATGAACTGATTTCAAATGTTCTATCAACAAGTCTACTCATATATCATGTGTCTATTTCTGTTATTTGCATCATTTGAATGTGTCAAATGATGTAAATTGATATTTTTACTATGGTGAAGTTGATATAAGCTACTTATGCATAAACATCATCGATGCAACACTAATATAACTATTTATTTTAGTTAAATACAGTTATTAAAAGTAAAGAATGTCGTATCAGATTACTACCTTACCATTCAAAATTTAATTGGCAGATAATAGAAATGTCAAAGATTTATTCTAAATAACTGTTTTAACAAAGAACATGCAAAAATTTCAGAAATTTAGTTTATAGAGAATTAAGTAGTTCTGTATACAGTAGAGTCCCGAAAACTCAGTACTCGATAACCTGGCAGTCCGGATAACTCGGACACACCCTGGCAGGGCGAAAAAACTCCTAGTTAATTTTCATTATAAACAGCTTTATGCCTCATAAAGTATTTTTCTGAGATCTGTCTTATCAGGTAAATTACTGTACACTGTGTATTCATTAATTTTCATTTTCATGTAATAAAGGCTCTATGCCTTCATAAAGGACGTACTTTTCCTTTGTTTATGGGTATTTGGGCAGTTTATTCTCTGTTGTATTCTCAAGTACATAATACATACAAGTACAGTACAGTATTTTCTGAGGAAACATTCATACTNACGTAGCTTGCTCTCGAGTAGGAAATTTGAAAAATTTGTACATACTGTATATATCCCGGATAACAAAATGAAAAATGTTGTTTATAAACAAGTATTGTAAATAGTTAGAATATATTTTCAATAAAATTTTTTTACCTCTTATATTTTAAAGTTTATTCTTTTATTCCAACTACCACACAATCTCATATCAAATCCCTGAGCGAAGCTGGGTACCCCAGCTAGTAATTTCATAAAAACAGCCATACTAATACTTTTGACATTTTATCAATGTTGTCTCTTAATAGTTTAATTCACTAAACTTCTACAGACATTTGCTGTAGTGTAACTTACAAATTCAATCCTTAAATTATACCTGCTACCTTTTACCAGCTATCTGTATATACAGTACTAGCTATTACCCACAACTTTGCCCGCAGAGGTTTTGCAAGCAAACCCCATTTATATTCAGTATTTCAACAACCATAGTAATTGTTATATAACACCTACTGCTGAGAATCAAATGAACTGTTTTCAATTTGATCAATTTTCTTGAACATTTACAATCATTCTACTATCGAACCAATATGCAATAACAAATTTGAATTTAAAACGGTTCGAACATTTGGTTAAAAAAAGCGAAATATATAAAAATATTTATAACAATGTCTGAAATGTTATCAATTTAATACACCTAAGTACTTAATGAAGACTAAATGTTGTTGAAAACAAAATATCGCATCTAAAATAGTACAGTGGAAGCTGTTCTTCCGGTTAAGCCTTAATGCTCTTCCTCTCCCCCATGGGGGAATTTCGAAAAATCCCTTCTTAGCATGCATTTCCATGACATACCCTAACTGTGTACCAAATTTCACCTCTTTAAGTTCAGCGGTTTGCTCTGGGCAATGATGAATCAGTGACTCAGTCAGGACAAGTAATTTTATATACAGTATAAACAATCTTATCTTTGTCCTCATATGTAAAGCATATTTATATCCAACTTTGCAATATTTAGTGCATAAAGAACTTTAAATTATAGCTACTGCTGCAGTTCATAGTTCAGGATATTAACATACAAAATTTAAACATATCAATTTCAGAGTACAAAAGTCACTCTTCCTGCCAATGATATTACACTAAAAGGGAAAAAGACTAACCTTTGTGAGCCCTCTGTACCATATCAAGAGTCAGTCATGTTACTTATAATTAAAATCTTTTTAAAAATTAAGGTTTGTTCTTCCAATTAAACCTTAATTATCTTTACATAGGATACTTCACAATGATAGGGACATGTTTTCAACCTTAAAAAACTGGTTTATATGGTTCTGTTACTATAGCTAAATACAGGTTTAAAACTATATTATTTAGTTATAACGACAAGAAAATTCCAAAATCATCTAATAGAGCAGCAAGATAACATCCAAAATAACAAATGCTTAACAGCTCTCCAGAAGTGATAAGTCATGGCCTTGTGCCTTTAGAAACAAAGACTTCAATTCTCAAATAGTGCATAGACCACAAAACTATTTTTAACTGGGAGGCCTTATACATATCTAAGTTTGGACCTTGCAATAAACTTTCAGCTGAAGAATGCCATCAAAAGATAGAGCAGTGGATTTTGCTCTTTAAAATCTTGGAGACTTGATTCATTGCCTTTCTAGCTTTAATAAATTCTAAAAAATGTTTTTTTTTTTGTAAAATATAGGATTAATAATTGTTTGTTATTGCTATGAGGAGCTACCACTCATTTTATCATATATAACATCATTTTTATGTTTAAAATTCTTTTGCATCATTAAGTCTTACACATTTTTCATTTTTCGTATGTTTGATTATTCAAATATGTATTCTTTTTTCAGAATATGTCAATATATTTTTTTAAAATTTATATCTATGTTCTTCTTTGCCTTAAGATGACATTGATACAATGTCAAAAGCACTCGCATGACTGTTTTTATGAAATTATTAAAGTACATAATGCCAAAAGACAGCATTTCTTCTATTGGTTATACAAATTTTGGCATCAAGTGCATATTTATAATTTTTCACCAAATTTGAACTAACCCTCATAACTTACATTATTTCCACAAGAAGTACAACTTCAGAAGATTGACAATACTTCTACTCCTAATAGGACATCTAAAATGTTTTAGATGTCCTATTAGATGTCCTATTTGTTATGTTATTCATGAGGATATTGCCAAACACCAGACGAATATATCAAGGGTTAAAATATCAGACTCTCAACAAAAGAAAGTTAACAGAGAATACAGGAACCTTTGGAAACCCCCAGATGATCAAACTCACTTAGCATCCAAATTAACCAGGAATGAAATAGATATTACCATCTCTCTACTCTCAAGAAGGACAAAGCCGCAGGAGTAGACATAATATTACTTGAATTTCTTATCTGCCTTGGGCCTAAAGCAAGAAACTGACTAGCTAAATTATTTAGACATTCTAAAATCTGGCAGATCCTCAAAATATGGAGACAAGCAAAACTCCTTGCCATTTTAAAACCTCATAAAGAAGCAAACGACCCAAAAATTTCCATCCAATTTCTCTTCTCTGCATACCTTTAAAGTTATTCAAGCATATTCTACTGCAAAGAATCACTCCAATAATTGAACCATTTCTGCCCTCAGAACAAGCCAGCTTATGACAAGGACAAAGCTGTTGTGAATAAGTACTCATACTGACCAACTATATTGAAACAGGCTTCAAGCACAAACAAAAAACAAGTGGAGTGTTTATAGATCTCTCAGCAGTATGGAAAAATGGATTATTATTAAAAATAGAAAAAATTATTTGCTGAAAATCTGTACTAAGAATATTAAATTGGATGTTATCAAACCATAAGCTTCAGGTAAACTTAGGAGAAAACAAAAGCAGGTATAAAGTCTTACAAAGTGGCTTGCCTCAAGGCTCCATTCTATCTCCCATTCTCTTTGATGTTTACACTGATGATTTACCTAGACTAAATTGCAAAACGTTCATCTATACAGATGATATTGCTTTAGCCACTCAAAATCATAGGTTTCAAGAACTAGAAAAAATTACCAATACTGATATGGAAAAATTAAAAACTTATGTAATTAATTAAATTTAGAAACTTACTAACTAAATAATAGAGAAGATGGTGCAAACTCAACATAAAATTCTGTAATAAAATTCTGGATCATAAATCTAACCCAACTTATCTCAAGGTTTCATTGTAGCTTACATATAAATAACATCTGTTAAAACTAAAGTCAAAAATCACAAAACAAATCAATCTTATCAACAAACAAGTTGGGACAAAATGGGGCTGCAATGCCCATATCCTACACAGTGCTTAGTTGGCTTTGGTCTACTTCCCAGCTGAATATTGTGCTCCAATCTGATATCATAGCAATCATACTCATCTGGTGGACACACAATT